GGGGGGGGCGGTGCGGCGTCCGTGGCGGTGTGGCGGTCTGCTTCTCTGGCACCGGGCGGGTAAGGCGCCCCTGTTCTGGTGGGGCCGAGGGTAGTCGGCTGGCGCTTACGGGTGTGCTCCGCGGCCCGCTCCCCCGGGGCTGTCCGGGCGCACTTGTCCCCTCAGAGGGCACGGCGGCCACCTGCGAGCGGTGCTGCCCGTCGGGCCGACGCCGCCCGGCCGCCTCACGGGCTGCCGCCCCCCCCCCCGCCCCGCAACCGAAGCGGTGTCGAGGGGCGGCCCGGGCTTGAGTGGGGCTCCGGCTGCTGCGGTTTGGGGAAACGGCCAAAACATTTGCCGAGGGCGGGGACGACCCCCGGTTCTCCTCGGTTCCCGGCGCAACCCGCGCTGTCCCTGTCCGCCACGGAGCCCTCGCAGAGGTGCTCCCCGGGACAGAGCCCCCTGCCCCGCCGCGGGGCGGTTGCCGTTTCTCTCCCGTTTCGGTAGAGGCTGTGGAGGCCTTGTTACCGCCCTTTGATCCTGACAGCAAAGTCATGCAGTGCCATTTGGGTGAAGTGGTTTGAATGTTGCCGTCTGTCCAAGCAGTGCCACGGCTGATTTGTGTGGGTGTCGCAGGAGGCCGTTTCTAGTGAGTTCTGCCCAGGCACAGCGCTTCTTACTGGCGAGTGCTTGTGTACTTCCGAGAGCACCTTCTGCGGTAATTTCAGGATTCACTTCCACCCCCTGGGTGAGGGTGGTTTTTGGGGTTGTTCGTGCTTGGGGGGGAGGGGGGGTTAAAGCCGTTTCCTGGCTTCTTTGTATGTCTGTTTACACGTGAGGTTTAACTTAAAACCTTGACCTTAAATAGTAGAATGATTAAATTGAGTGGATCCTGTCACAGAAGCTGTGTGTGCAAGCTAGTAATGAGATGAGAGCAGTCTCATGAAAAGATGGCTGAATTATACCAACTTTACTGGCTGCTTGATACCACTACGGTACTTGATTAGTCTTGGTGCAGTCCTACTGCCTGTCCCTGCTGTGGCCTCATCTTCCTCCCCCAGGCAGGGGGAAAGCTGCTTGCACGGTTTCTGTAGTGGTGAGCAAGAGGAGTGGGCTGTGTCCGTCACTAACAGCACCTGATCAGGGAGACTCAGTACTGCGTAGGGATTATCCCCGGTTACCTTCTTATACTGGACGAAGAGGGAGCCCAGATGCCGTCTTGGTTTGCATGAGCTGAAGTTCTCCAGGGGGAGGAGCCCTTCTCTCTCCCTGCATACCTGAAGAGAGAGGAGATGAGTAGGGGACTACTAAGAAAGACCCAAAACAGAATCTTCACACTCCCCTTTCCTGGTCGTTTAATAGTATTCTGGTACTCCGTGAAAATACGCAAAATTTATTTTCGCTGGGAGAATTAAAAAAAAAAAAAAATCATCAGTATTTTACAGACATTTGGTGGCAGATCTGATCTGTAGGATTTTGTTATTTCAGAAAAATGTTGTGACATTCTTTGGATTTTCCATTTGGTCTGCTTGTGTTCCTTAGAACCACCACCTTTCGTTTAGTTTTTTCTTTGTGAGAAGTTGTGGTGTCCAAGTTCCAGAAAGAATCCCTAAAGTACACATTTAATATAAATGCTGTGGGACTTGCTGCACTGCTTTACTTTTGTGATAATTTTAGCTTTAGTTTGAGCTTTACTATCTTAATTTTGTTCTACCTAATGCCCACAACTCTTCTTCACTCTTAGCTTTTGTTTCATCATTTCTTTGGAACGTCAGCTCCATTAAATGGGCGGTGTAATTCCATGATTATTCTCTGTTTTCACTTGTTACTCATATGCAAACGTATTATCACACAGAAGGATTCATGTGCACACTTTCTCAGGCCAGCTTTAAGCTCTGCAAAATCCCCATCCCTGTGCATTGTAGCTGCGGCATGTACAGATTATGCATAAAGTACCGTACATATATGAATCTGAAACCCAAATCCTGCTGGGAATCTGGAATTAGTTGGTAATGGTTTTCTACACACTTCAGTAAAAGTGACAGACGTAAGAATAACTGACTTTCAAAATAACAAAAATAATGATTAAAATATTTTTTCAATAGTTCTTTAGTTGCATAGAAGGTCTGAAAATAGCTCAGGTGCTTTCCTAGTCTAGTATTAGCATTTATATGAAGGTCCATGTGTTTTAGTATAATACAATGTAATTGTTCTTACATTCAGTTTATAATAAGGTAGTTATGGTTGTTACCTCCGCTGTCATCAGAAAATCTAATCTTGTGTAACAGTCCTGTATCCAGAAATGAGAAAAAACTAACTTTCCTCTTTCCCCCCCCCAGTTTTTCAGCCGTGGGCCAAATGTGCTGCATCAAGACAGCAGTGCACCCCAAGCTGCATTCTTTTCACCTCTTCAGAAGGTGATGTTGCCACCAAATACTTTTCAAGGGAAAGTGGCCTTTATAACTGGTGGAGGTACTGGGATTGGCAAAGGGATGACAACAGCTTTGTCCAGTTTAGGAGCCCAGTGTGTTATAGCAAGCAGGTAAATATTAATGGATGTTTTAGGGCTTTCATTTAGTACTGAGTGCTGAACAGATCTGCTTTCTTCTTCATAATGGATCTTGTTTTCTTCTTCATAAAATGGGTAAATTTATTCTATTTACTCTGTTTCAGTACACTTTTAAATTATAATGTCATATTGCAAATACCAGAAATTTGCAGATCCATCTACAAGTGTCTAATGGTGTAACCAGCAGTAGGAAGAAATAAGCTAAACGCATTTCCATGAAATGTGGCAGCAAAATAAACAACCTGGACTATTAGACATAAATTCAAACAAAGCCTAATAGAGAACACAAAATTGAAATGGCCATTGTTGAACATTTTGAATGTATTATTGCAGGTGTTCTTGATACAGATTTGAATTGAAGTAAAGAATTAAAGCCATTCCTCCTAATTCTTGTGACTTTAAAAACAGCCCTGATTTTCTCTTAATGAAGATGATCTTTATACATTTCTCTTAAGTAGCACTACAGTAAAGACTAGAAAAACAATCTCATTTTTAATCAAAATAAACAACAAAAGTGTTGTGACAGTTGTCCAAATGGTGGTTTATATATTTAGTTTTAAATCTGAATATGCGTGTTCCTTCTAAAATACTAGTAGAGTAGTAGCTAAAACTAAGTTTGTTATGATCATGTACTCGGAATGGAAATATTTTTTCTAGCTTACCATGTTTAGCCAAAGATAGTCTTTTATTGTAGTCACCTTGAGTTGCTTTCAAGTAGCAGTAACCAGAAATTACTTAGATTTAAATAGTTTTCTTTCAGAAAGTTAGTGACTAAATATAGTTTCTATCTTAAAGCTCAATTTCAATGAAAATCGGCAACACATATGCGCGCACACACATATTAAATGGTATTTTAAGGTTTAGCACATATTTGCTAAGAAAAAATCACCAGATTTTATTAATCTGAATTGTAATTGCATTTAATTGAAATTTAGTGACATTGTATACTTATTTCTAGGAAGCTTGATGTTTTGAAAGGAGCAGCAGAAGAAATTTCTTCTAAAACAGGGAATAAGGTAAATTTTTACAGAATTGTGAATATGTTAGTTATTATGCTTTAAATGATTATAGGATTTTTATGCATTCATGTGCTTCTGTGGGCTTGTTTAATTTATAAGTGATATGGGTTTGAAGTCTTACAGCTGCCTTTCTGTTATTATATAGGTTCATGCCATCCAGTGTGATGTGAGAGATCCAGTTTCAGTTAAGAATGCTGTTGCTGAAATAATCAAAGTGGCAGGACATCCTGATGTAAGTGTTCTAGTGAAAGGAAAGAACTTTAGTCTTCGTTACTGAAAATACTCTGTATAGTAGGCATGAAGAAAATGACTGATAGAAAGTTAATGGAATCTAAAGAGACACTAGACAAAACGTGGCTGTACTTCAAGATAAAGCTAACATTCACAGTTAGACTGGTTACTGTCTTCCTGTGGTTCTTAAAATGCTTAGTGGCCAAGTAGACAAAACGTTGTTGTCTTTACTCTAATGACTAACAGTTTCTTTGTAAACAGTGGGACAATTATGATGGGATTCTTTGAATTAAGTGAATGGAATATTGCTGTTAAATCCTCCTGAAAAGGTAACTTACTTGTGTTGGTACTGAATTACACCTGTTGCTTATTAACAGAATGTTTCACAAATTAGAAATGGAAGTAATCATAAACGTCTTCTTTGGTTCTTGCTTAGCTTATTAAAATACACAAAGAAGGCTCCAACTTGAAAACTAAATTCTCATAAAATCCAGAAAAAAATCTTCAGTCAGGCTAAGCATCTATTTTTTAATAGTTTGGCACAAAATACAGAGCTCTCTACATCAGACTGTTGCTTTGAGAAGGGTGGTCTGGAGGATTCTGAACAATGATAGGCACCAAACTCTGATTTGATCGTGAGAAACAATTCAGATTCTATTAGCTGATAGAAAGTGTGATGAGAGTGTTAACATCTATGTAAAGGATAGTCAGTGAGATTTAAACTGTTTACTGTAGATTTATAACTCTCATCTGTGTGATGTAGACACTTTGCATTCAACAATAGCTTCCTGTGGACATGGAAGAGTACCTGCTGAATTCTAAATGTGCTAAGAAGTGGAGAAACTATTTCTCACAGCTGTATGCTGTAACAGTGCTGTAAAATAAGACAGTTTACTGTCCTGATTTTGTAGACAAGATACTCTGGAAGTTATTTTGACTGCTAGTTACTGCAGTTTTTGGTCAAAGCACATCTGTCACCATGATCTCCAGGTTTTAAGTGCGTATAGAGAGGGAGGAGACTTCTTCCTATATATTACGGTTTTAGTACACCAGTAATTTTCTGAATAAATACTTCCCATGACGTGTTCTTTACAAGCATTTCCTTTCTCTTTAATTTCACATATTCTGTGTGTTTAAGAGAGACTGCAGAGTAAATTGAATATTCAGTTCTTTTTGTCTGGTTTTTGTCTTAGTGACAGACATGGCATGTAAGTTTATGAATACTACAAGCCTGAGTGTCACTGCCACTGTGCATTTAAGGTGAGGTCTCAAAGATAGAAGTTAATGGCAGTATCATATTCCTTCTATCTTTGTTTTGTTCATTCTGTCCCCAAGACTGTTACACCCAATTAGAAAGCAGTCATTCTTTTGTCATATGGATTGTTCGGGCAGTCATATGTATCTACATACCTCAAAGACTGTATCATGCAGTCTTTACTTCACTAGTTTTATTATGGTGTTTTTGCTGTATTTATTCAGTGATTCAGTTAACCTCGTCAGTGTCTTGAGGTGTTTGGATTTTATTTTATTTTTTCTACAGACTGTAGGGAGGCCTTTAAATTGTATTTGCCATCTATATGTGTAATTTATGGCTGTTGTATTGTATTTGTTTTATATTCATGCAATATGTACTGTGCTGTGTTTTGTTACTGAAAATTCTAATGTCTTAATTTAGCCCAGAACTTCTTCAGGACAAAGACTTGGTTTTATGTGCAAACCTCCATGAATCTAGGTACTATTCCATAAGTAATACACTGTTTTATTGCTTCAGTACATTATATTATTATTAAATACACAAGATCTGGCCACATAAGTTTTGGTTTAAAAACTGCTTATGTGATGCTTATTCCCCTTAAAAATATATATCTAACTGCTACCTTGAAGGGCTAAGCACAAGATATATCGAAAGTGTCCTCTACCTAATTATTTTTAGTAGAAAGGCAACAAGTGACAGATATACATCTATTTGAAAAAGGTTTTGTACTAGTTGCTTGCAGTTCACTAAATCATAATATTCTGTTTGTCATGACTGATTAGACTTCCTGTTATGCAACAGTCAGCTAATCCAGACTTTAGTCATCAGGTTACCTGAACTTCTTTTGCTTTTATTCCCATGCATCCATTACATTAAATATGATATGTTATCTTGACACTCGGTGGGGACAAATTTTTCTGTTAGGATGCACCTCAGACACTATGGAAAATAGCGACTTAAGTCACCCTCTACGTTTAAAGTTCCTCAGTACTAAACTAGTAACTACGGCAGTTTGGAAATACAGCTCATTTTCTGTTACTGATACATATCTATGCTGCAGATGTTAAAATTTCTGATGGATTATTTCCTCTCTCTCTCTTCCCTCCTCCGGTACCTTGTTTGATGAGGATATTTTTACTTTTCTACCTGGAAACGCTAAGAAGTTCCTTCTAAATTCTTTCCTTTTCTCTCAGGAAGAGTTGGGTTTAGTTAACTCTTAGGTTTTCCTTCATGTGTTTCAGGTTGTGATAAACAATGCAGCTGGAAACTTTATTTCCCCTTCTGAACGACTTTCTGCTAATGCATGGAAAACAATAACTGATATTGTGCTTAACGGTACCGCTTTTGTAACTCTGGAAATCGGAAAGGAGCTCATTAAAGTACAAAAAGGTATTTAAGATAAATGGTAACTAAGCATTGTGACATAGTATTATAACTTCCTTGCCTTGCTATTATTATAGCCAGTTTTGAGAGTTTGAAAAGAAACACAATCTTTAACATTCTACATATTATCTAGAAAGAAACTTCATTTTCAGTAAAGCCGTACTTAAATGTCACACAGTAGAACTGGCTAGCAATTACTTCATTGTAGAATCTGCTCGTAAAATTGGACCCAGAGGCCAGGAGGTTGAATATAAAAATCTGATCGCAGAGTTTGTACTAATAAATGGTTTTTAAAAATTAAAAAATAAGGCTTTGTTTAAAACATATGCTGTTATTTCTTTTGAGTCTTCTATATCTATGTTGGTTTCATTGAGCAACTGAACATGTGGCATGTACTTAAATGAACAGCAAGTCAGGATATCGCTTTGAATTTTCCTCCTACACTTCAATAAATAAAATTCAAAGCTGTGTTAAATGACTAATTGCACTAGAGAATATTACCTTTGAGATAATTTGAAAAAGAATTTCAAAATTGAAATCAGTGTTAGGTTTTATTTTCTCGTGTATAATTCTTAGTTCTAGACTACCTAGAAGTTTAATCCAATATTTTAGCTTTACCTTAAAAATACGATAGTTCTTTGATGTACTATTTAGCTAAAGATTTATTTAACCAGATTATTGCCTTTAGGGGAAAGATACTGTATGCCCTTCTGTGTTATATTATAGATATATACAAAGAACTGCTTTCATTTTACATTATCCTCTAGTTATGAATTGAAAAACATTGAGCTTATTTTTTTTTATCAGAATTATATAATCTCAAATAGCGTTTAAAAGCAGTGAGGTATATTATGGTTTTCCATGTGCCCTCACTTCTGAATCATGTTTTCTAGGTACAGCCACTGTGTTGAAATAATCCTTTTGTGCACTGTATTTCTCTAACTCCTGAATTAGTTGAATTTCTTCAAAACTCCTTTCCAAAAAGTACTCAGTGGGTTTATACTATTTAGTGATAACAATATAAAGTTGTTTCAGTAAGTCTGTAACAGTTTTGGTCAGTTGACAAGGTATTTCCCACATCTATTTTAGCAACACATGCAAAAATCCTTTCTGCCATTCTAGTGCTAATATTACCACATTAAAAACCCATCCCCAACTTTGACTTACTGTATTGGTATGACTTTATGGCCTGCCAAATGCATGCAGTGTCTCCCTATAGTAATGTGAAATACAGCTTTAAAAATGCCTTTGTCTGTGCTGCTGTTGAATGAAAAACTACTTTCCTTGCTTCCACCCTCAAATTTGGCAAAATCCAGAAGTCATTCACCTTCATGTTGTCTCTCTTCCTCTCACTTCTAAGCTTCCAAAACGTGAATTTCTTTTGCTATTACTTGCATGCCTTCTTTCTAGGGGATTGCATCTGTGAGTGAGACTTTTGATTTAAGGCTTTCTTTAAGACATATTTTTGCAAGTAAATCAAGTGTACCTGTTTGTCCTGTCATTCTCCACCTTCATTTTCTTTTTACTTGCTTGGTTTTTTTAAGTTTGAGCAGAGACCTTAGTTTCTTAAGTGATGGAGATGCTACCCAATGCAAATATTTTAGAACAGTCTGTGAGGGTGCTATACATCTGACAGTTCCTAGAACACTGGCACATCCTTTAGGTCTGCGGTATGACCTGCGTTAAACCTAATTTAGTAAACAATAAAAGTGCTCTGCTTTCAGACTCTTAAGTTTGTACTGGTATTTAAAAAGGATTTGTAATCTGCCAGTGCGTTATTTATGCACTGAAGTTTTACAAAATGAGGATTTAATTGGTTAGATATTGTTCATTTTATGGTTATAGGCTTTAAAAATAAAAATTGTGCATGAACTGAAGTGTACTTTAAACTTCAGAGCTGTAAAGTTATCAGTCATTCTTGCTTTTGTGTTAGGTTCACCCAACTCACCTCTATTTAACCTGTATTTTAAAAATTCTGTGGTTTAATTCTGCAAAATGTATAATTAACAATCAACTCTAGATAACTTCAAAGTTGTTCTGTGGATTTTTTGCCTGTGTTGTGATTTCTTTTAAAAAGTCTCTCACTGTAGACTATTTTTGTAAACAGGGTCCCTGGTTTCTGGATATCTGCTGGCATTTCTGTCAGTGCTTGTTTATGGTTCCCTTTAGTTTCTCTTACGTAACATTACTGTAATTTTTTAATTGAGTCTCTACTTCATCGTCACATACGTTCTATAAGTAACGTATTGTTTTAGAAATATCCCTTGGGTAGCTATTCTAATTAAATTATTTTTAAAATACAGTAAGTAGAACAGTTATTTTAGATACTGTGGCGTAAGCAGTGAGCTGTTGTCCCTTGTCCTCCATTTCCAAGTTAAAGTTCATGCTAGTTATTGATCAGACAATTATAATTTGCAGGCTTCTATAAAAAAAAAAAAAGGTTAATTAAACAGTTGCAGTTTCCATTATTTTCCATAACATTTTTGCTAAATCTGTCATAAAATTTAACATATAAAAGAAAGCAGTCTTTTTATAATACAGTTTGTTGTGATACTAATGGGAGAAAGTTATGCAGGTTGACTTTGTCGTAAGCTCTACTGTAGAAAAAGCTTCTGAAAAGTTCTTAAAAAAAACTCCTCTTTTTTTCTGCATAAACTTTAACTCAAGGCCTAAACTGTGTCATTTTAAGATTATGCCAAACCTAATTGTTCATGCTGATTTTTTTCTATTTTATGGGGTTTTTTTCAGCCAGGAATTGAGGAAATTAGGGCAAATTACCTGGTTAGTGACCACTAGGCTAGTGCACCTTCTAAAAAGACACTGTAAGATCTTAGGCCTTCATTCCACTTAGACTGATTTGCACACATAATTCATTATCAGTAGAAGTCTGAGGGTTTAGACCTTTGGGGCCTAATCAATAGCTATTTACACTTACATGGAATAACTCTTAACATTCATGGAAAAGAGGGAACTGAAATAAAAGGATTGAAAGCAAGGTTTCCAAGACTAGATTTTTAAAGTATCTTTTTACAACCCAACGTGAAATGGCATCCCTGACGCTTGAGCTGCAAACCTCTGTACCACTGAGGTTGCTTTTATCTTAAGTTCAGAGTTTGATCTTCATGCATTTTTTGTTTGTTTGATGTGTGTGGGGTTTTTAATGTTTTTGCAACTTCCAGGAGCAGCATTCCTGGCTATTACGACAATTTATGCAGAGAGTGGTTCAGGATTTGTGTTGCCAAGCGCCTCTGCCAAAGCTGGTGTAGAAGCAATGAGCAAGTGAGTAATGTAGCAAAATGCGTGTTCTGCTTTTCACATCTTTGAGGTAGGTTAATTGGTCTATAAAAATGGAGCTAGTTGGAATAGTCCTCCTGTTTCACTGTATCATAAAAGAACCTCCCAGCCTCCAGTATCCTAGCAAGAAAATAGTATTGTCACCTTCTTACAGAAGGAAGTATTAGCTGCTATTATTATGATGATTTTTAATCACGAGGATGAGTAGATGATTTTTATCACAAGAATGAGATAAGGGTAAGTGGAACTACTTTTGGCAATAGCAAGTTCTAAAATTTCAGTTAGAGAGTTTCGATAATCAGATTCTCTTGCATTCTTATAGGCGAGCCAGCACTTAAAGACAGTTATTAGGGCAACTGTTCGAGGTCTGTAGTGCCTTCCACTTTCTTTTGTTTCAGGAAAAGATGTGCTTGTATTTGGATGGAGTATACTGTTGCTTCACCTATCTAGTTTCATAAAGAAATGTTTCCTGTCACTATTTTAAATTAAGGTCTGCAGTTATACTTCATTCAGAACAGTATCATGTGACGTATCCATGTTACTCAGCAAACAAAAGGATTTCTATCATTATTAACTATAGGGCAATCCTCCATAGCAAATAGATCCTCCTCTGCACTTCAGCAGAAGGAATTTAGGCAGCCTTTTAGTAACTAGAATTCTGTATCCAGAAAAAAATGAGGGAATGAGTCATGGTCTTGTTTTCTGTTCTGTAAAGCTGTAACTGAAGTGTGTACTTTTCAGAGACTTTGACGCAGCTAATTCATTCACTGTAGTAGATGATCTACCTGAAGTACTGCTTATGCAGAGAAATTATTCTACTGGTCTGATTTTAGAATGTAACCTCTGCTTAGTGTTATTTCAACACATCTAATATGAGAGCTACGTTGAAAATGTTAGGAATGTATACTTGTGGGATAATCTAAATTACCAGAGAAAGGTGGTAGCCTAACAGTTGTTTGTCAAGGAGTTTAGGTGCCAAAATTATCTGTATGATCTGTGACGGAGAAAGAATTGCTTCTTAATGTTGTTTTATCTATGATGCATCTATTAAATCAGTATTCCTCCATTTATGAGTGTGATTTTTTTCTTCTCTGAAATGTTTTTATTAAGAACACAAAAAACCCCCTTAAGTAGAAATGTCTGCTTCAGGAAAATCCCAGTATTTATACGTTTGATTCAGTTTTGAATACTTTTTTTTGCTGAATAGCATTGTGTTTAAAATACTGATGCGTTCTGTTAATGAATTTTAGGTCTCTTGCGGCTGAATGGGGTAAATATGGCATGAGATTCAATGTGATTCAACCAGGTCCAATAAAAACAAAGGTACATACCATGAAGTGAAACACAGCCTTGAATATGCTTTATAGTACAGACTTAACTGTAAGATAGTCTAACCTCTTCTACGACTGTTGAATTCAAGTATGATTTCCTTGGTAGTCAAGACTGTGCTGGAATATTGAACACGCTACCTCTCAATTCTTTCGTAAAATAGAATTTCTTGAACTTCTGAAACATGCTACTGTGCCTTCTACTACACTAATATAAATGAAGCCTTTTTTTTAGTGTTTTAAAGAAATGATAATCAAAATATTTAATGTTGCTTCTTACCAACTGTACATACCTAGTTTGTCAAGTGAAGTGAATTCTTAGACTTGTTGGAGTGTCTATTTCTGCCTGAACTCCTAATTCTTAAACAAAACAACTCATCAATTCCAAAATTTCAGAATCTCTTTTAGGTGTATGAGAAGAGAATTTCACTAGTTTTGTTAAAAATCACAAAACTAGAAAGAGAAAAATAAGTCAGCAAGGAAATGTGAAGCTTTGATATGAGTAAAAAGGACTGGAGGGTTTGAAGGAAGTAATCCAGACCAGCTGGAACAGGAAAAAAAAAGAAAGTAGTCCTGCAAGAGGGGAGAGGAGGATCCATTTCACATTGAATCAAAATATTACAATTATGATCAGTAACAGCTAATAATGGTATTACTACTGCCTGTAAAATGTTTCACAGTTGGTTTTGCTGTTGTTTTGGGGGTAGGGGTACAGGGTTGCTGCTTCTTTTTTTTCTTTTTTTTTTCTTTTTTTCCTTTTTTTCCTGTTGTCAGTATTAGATGCTACATTGGACAACTCAGTTTTCCCTTTTTTGACTGTAAAGAAAGGTAAGTGCAGTATCAGCAGGGTTGTAAAAATGTTGAAACAACATGACAGATCAGACCACAAGTCCTCCAGGCCTTGTATCTGGTGAATTTTTAGGCAAGAGTAGAAGAAAAATATTTCATGACATTTCTTCTTTGTCTCCAGCCTTTGGTAGTCTATGGCGCAGGGAGTTTGATACAGTTGGTATCTCTTCATATTGTAGTCATCTTGATGGATTTTCTTCTTCCCTTAGTTTGTCGTGCTCCTTTTGAATCTGTATAAACTTTTGGCATCCACTATATCATATGGCAAGATCACTTTGATTTATAGATTCTTATAATTTTTGGCAAGTTAACTGCTTTAAATGTCAATATTGCTACCTCCCCTTAATGTTTCTGATTTAACCTAATAGTGAGATTTGAGATCTCCCATTTGAGATACTGTGTGTTCTTAAGAAAGTACTACATTTGTCATACTGGTTCCAAGTTAAAATTTCCCTGAAAGCATAAAAAGGCAGATAGGCTTTACTTAAAACAGCATATTGCAGAATCGAGGCTTTCTGTCTTATGGGCTACATCCATGTCTTTAAGAAACACTGTTGTGAGTCATGATAGGAAAAGAAAAAAGTGTACAAGTGCGATACCGTTAAGCTTATAAACTGGCATTTAAAAACATGGCAATAGAAGACTTAAATGGCATGAGTACAGCCATGATTACATAAATTACAGTGTGCTTTAACTCTCGTAACTGAAGTAACTTAACATAAATGTTACTAACACATTTCTGATTTGGCTGAGGAGGTTGTTTCCTTGTGGAGGAGCCAGGAAGAGCAAAAAACCTCTTCTATTTCCCATGCCATTCTAAGCTATTTGAATACTAGAACTTCCAGTGACTTAGTTTAGTTCTAGCCATTGATGCAATTTAACTGAACTTGATTTTTTTTTTTCTTTCCAGTTTTACTTACTCTGTGTCACGTATAATTTATTTCTGTCACTTTCCTGCTCCTCTTCTCCCCTCCTTCCTCTCCCCTGTCCATGCAGCAATTTTGAGTCTTGCTTATTTCCTCAAATGTGTATCAAGGGTGTTTGGGAAACAAAGATTTCGTAGATAGATGGTGGGTGACTGTCCCAAACATGTTAAATTCCAGCTTATATTCCTCAGTGGATGCCTATCAGTGCAACAGGGATAAATTGTTTTTTTGTTTCCCACTTTCTTCTTTTTCATCCTACTGACAAACAGGGTGTAGACTGTTTATTCACAAATGTTAACTTCCATATTGTTTATGTGGAGTCAAATCTCTGTTGGATTTCAATTTCTGATGTAGTTATAACTTTTTTTTTTTTTTAAATGTTTCTCTTAATTCTCAGGGTGCTTTTAGCCGTCTTGACCCAACAGGCTCATTTGAGAAGAACATAATTGAGAGGATTCCCTGTGGTCGTCTGGGAACTGTAGAAGAAATTGCAAATCTTGCTGCCTATTTCTGCAGTGACTATGCAAGCTGGGTTAATGGAGCAGTGAGTTTTGGTTGATCTTGCTTATACAAGTAAACTGATGATGTTCTGAGTTTTGCTGATACTTTTTAAAGCCCTGATTTCGGAAATGAAACAAAACCAGTTACTTTGAAATTCTGTACCAGGATTATTAACCTTCTAATTGTAATACATAGTAGTTAGTACCTTTAAAAAGAACTTCTAAAAGTGATTGAATTACATTATTTTAAGCATGGATTTTTCTGATCCAAATCAATAAAAATTACTTTCACAATTCATAAGAAAGGAATGCTATAGAAAACTTACTATTATTAAATACACTGTTTATACTTTTTCTAGGTTATTAGAATGGATGGTGGAGAATATGTTTCTATGGCAGGAGAATTCAATGATTTGAAGAAGGTATTCAATTCCTTGCTTGCTGTTTTACATTCAGACAAATACTTAGATGTGTAACTATTATGTGGAATTCCAATAAAATGCTCTTTTCTTTTATTAGGTTACCAAAGAGCAGTGGGATGTGATGGAAGCAATGATTAGAAAAACAAAAGGCTCTTGAAGTACCTAACTGTATGGTGGAGTTCTTTGGAAATGAACCATGACTTTTTCATTAATATTTAGAAATAACCAATTGAGAAATAGCCTTCAAAGTATTTTGTATGCTAGTTTCAATAAGATATTTTGAAATTGTCATGTTTTGAATATAGCACGTATATTTTTCCCAATCTACAATCTAATCTGTTGCCACTAGTGAACAATGGTTGTTCACCGAAATTTTAATTGTTTTTTAGATTATGTCTTATATAGCCATGCTGTGGTCTACAATTAGCTGCCTTTTTTTTTTTTTTTTAATATTTTGGAGGGGTGGTTTGTTCCTCAGATATATGTAAGTGTCTCTTAATATTGTAATTCAAATAGCATTTCAGGACTACCATAACTGAATATGATTGCTAATCTGAGGAAAAACTAAGAAATTAAGTCCTAATCTTCACACTTCAGTAATAAGTCCTAAACTTGCAAATAACAGAGTTTCAGGTTATCAGCAGGACTACATACACGGAGATAGGATGTAACTCCTGTGGTTACGTACAAAATCTTGCAATGCATAACCATATTAGTCTCATCTTCTGCTGACATTTCCAGTCTGTTAATTATCTTATCCTGAACTTCAAAAATGGCATTTAAGGACTAGCAGTGCCTTTCTAAGGAGCTTACTCTTTGTCATAATTAAGTTAATGTTCTTGAAAATGAGAAAACAAAATACCATTTGCTATTAACGTGTGTGTGACTAGGGAAGTCTCTCCATAAAAAATGGTTTACTTAAGACTAGTAAAGGACATCAGTAAATTGGGACTGAAAACGTTGAAACCTCATTGTTTCATTTGCATTCACAGACTGGTACTAAAGAAGCTTTAAGATGTCATTACTTCTGAGTCTAGTCAGTTTATCCATCCCAAGTAAGCAGGTGTTTAAAATAAAGTACCCAAAACAACCAAACAAAACCAAGCAAGCAATGTTTATTGCTGTCCCTCTTTTAGTATTAATACATTTTCCAGATTAGGGAGTTGCCAGTTGTTTGTCCCCCCTGCTTCAAATGATGGATGGAATTCTTCAAAGAAATTAACAGGCTCTGGCCTTTACAACCTGAAATCCATGCCTTTTTTTTAAAAAATTTAAACCAAGCTCCAGACTGTCCACACATACAAGCATGGACATAGCTGTATGTGCTTTGAAATTGATGCAGTGATTTGAGAGTCAGGAATATAGAAGCAATTCAAGGATGTCTTCCTTCAAGTGCTGGCATTGCTTTACCTACACAGGCCATGCTTACATATGCCAGCATCTGACTGTTGAAATCATTTGATTGCCTTAATACGAAGCTGAAGCAAGCTAGTATATGTTCTGCTGAAAGGGTGGATTATATTAGTGCAGGCTTCCATGTGCCAGCTTTCCCTTGAGGGTGGTGGTCCTGTGGGGGATTGAACAGCATCTGTGCCACTGACAATAAAACCAGGCAAATATGTTTATCATAGCAGCCTTCAAGGTGTCTCTTGAACATAATGTAAAGCTTTTTTATAACATCTTGGGTTTTGGTAGGTCTACTGTCAAGATCAAGTTCTGACGTGATATCCATGTCTTTTCCCCCAAAAGTGATTTAATTGGGAAGTTAGGCTCATATATACTGTTCTTTGCTCACTGTTCTTTGCTTGTTGTCCTTTGCATATGCTTACATTTTCTCTTTGTGTGGGACACTGTTGCATATATGGCTTTGACACTTGAAAAAAAAGTTTCAGAAAAAAATTCAAAGGTATGTTTGTGAGCTGTGGTATGATCAAGTATTTCTCTGTGGTATTTAGTAGGGTATCCTCTGGAGATGGGCTATCAATAAAAAATAAGTTCCCACTGCTCTCTTGCATCCATGGGTGTGTACAACTTCTGCTATAGGAAAGTTTGTCATGTGGTTGAAGTATAGGACGGAAATAGAAGATAACCATGTTCAGTGTCCAACATTGTCACAGACTTTGTGTGACCTTAAGTTATTTCTTTTGCATCTGAACAGCAGTGCAGGTGCACTTTGCAGCATTCCCTCAGGAACTGGTCCTCTGAAGCAGGGAGACTGGCACATTCCTTTCAGCTCACAAAACATAGGTCCTGGGTGGGGCACAGGTGGCAAAGATCAAGAAAAGAGGCACAGTTCCAGTCTCAACATTAAGTTAGGATCAAGTCTATACTTGGCTTTGGGGGCTGGGAAGCACCGCTGGCTGCCACATATTCTTAATCCATCTCCCCTGCATATAAAATAATAGTAACAATACTAATTTTTTTTTAATCTTGCATACTCTTTTTTTATATTCCTACGTATTATTTAATGTATTTTTTAGATAGTGGAAGCAGAGGTGTTTTTTTTAGTGGGGGAAGGGTGAGATGGAAAAGGAAGGACAGAGGAGAAAAGGGGGATAAGCCTAGCCCAGCTACAATTATTTTTTTCCAAATATTTCAGCAGTCAGTACCGCGGTGCTTGGATGTAGTGCCTACTGATACAGTAAATGCCAGAAATCCATTATGAGGCTTTAAACACACAGACCCACTATTCTTTGGCTTAACCACCATGATAATACTGCTTTGCCTGCATATGTCCTTTGTTCAGAAAGTAAACTTTTTGGAGCTCAGTTCAAAAACATTTCTCTTCCACAGCAAAAGGCAGTGGGCTCCTATGCAAAAGTGCTTAAAGAATTTCAAGTGCTTTTGTAGTTTAAAATGAATACTGCTTCTTGACATGAAATTAAAAAATGAAAAGATCTTTGTCTTTCCTTCATTGCTTTACTCATCAGAGAGATTCAGGCCAACTTTGCATCTAGGAGAAACTCAGTTTAATTCATAGTGAACCTTTCAGGGACTGAAGTTCTTTTCTGAACCATCAGAGTTACTGGAGCATGTCCTTTAAGGGTGGGTTGTTATGCTTTATTTGATAAGGTCAGAATATTGAAGGGATGCCTCTTAAAGCCTGTCTTGTAAATAGATAGTGGATATTTATTCAATAACAGAACATTTATCACTTACAGAAACAGGTATTGCTTCCGAAGTATCTTCTTCTACCTGTTCACTGTCCATAGCTAAATTAATTATTAATTGTAAAGTGACAACAAAACATTTTTAAAACATACGTTATTCAATGATAGAACCAGAAAGCACATTTGAAATTTTAATGAGCAACTATAATAAGAATAGCGTCTATTTTATCTTACCTATACCAATGACATCCATTTCAAACTATGCCAAGATAGTTGCTTTTAGATTCTGAACATTCTGTCTTGACAAGATGTATACAGTGTATTGACGCAGGTTTTAGAAATGGCATATAATGTTTTAAAGAGCTATGTGTTACGGCATAGCTTATAAAATATATCCTAGTATATAGAATTAGTTAAGTGAAAAAACTTAACTCTGATCTAGCCGTCCACTTCTGCAGGAGAATGGAATAGTCTGACTTGGATTCATTTCCTTCATTAAAAAAGTTGTTAGACTTGTTAGGGACATGAGAGGAACATTACTGTGAAGAGGTGAACCTTGAACATCTCAAGTTTATGTTTTACCTAAATACAATTTAATTGTTTGTTACTAAAGTAGCAACACAGGACATCTGAACTCAGGGAAAGAACAAGAGAAAGTAGCTTTGTAGTGACTACCTAACCCAGGCAGTGTCTGGCTGGACTTGGAGTTTCCAAAAGAATGTGTTCCTAAAGGCTGTGAGGATCAGACTGTCCTGAAAGAGGCATAAAATATCCCTAAATCCCAAGAGGTGCCCAATCCATAAGCATGCTCTGCAGCTGTACATTGCACACACTTATCACAGACTGCCATAAAGCATAGTCATCATGGCTACTTTATTCCAAACATAGCAAAAATGGTAGGAGATTGTATCCACATTAAGCACACTGTCTTAACGCTGACATATTTACCCTGAGACCCTTACATTCCTGACCCTACCTCAGATTGCCAGTGAGCCACAAGGTAAAGGGGACTATGTAAAAAGTACTGCTTTGCGGCATAATAATTTTATGGAGATGAAGTTGGATGGACAAGAAAGTGGAGGAAGGAGTCAGAAAAGGTGCTGGTATACATTGGAGATCACTAAAGGAGTCAGTAGGGTTGCAGAGGCAGTTTAATTTTCCTGGATCACAAAGAAAACTTCCCTGGAATCCAAATACCTTTTTTAAAATTACTTCTGCATGACCCGTCAGTCAAAAGTGTTAAAATGCTTCCACGAACTCAGATGAGAGACACTTGGAAAGGAGGATCCATTGTCTATTTTCAACTGGAAAGTACATCTTGTCTGCTTGATTAAATCTTGAAATTACCCTTTTTATTTCAGTTGATGATTTACTGTCTTTGAACCTGTTACAATTTCTTAGATTAATTCTGTGCTGTAAAAGTGGTATTGTATTGTAGTAGAGGCTTATAAACAAGTTATGAAAATCATTTGAGGTTGCAAATGAAAGAGATTAGTTATATTGCCTCTGCGCGATGATACCAGAACTGCTGTCAGTCTTTGGTTCTCCTATATCTGGGAATTCCCTCCTCTTGAATATTTCAACTGTTGTTGATAATACTGCTATTATTTACCAATTGGAGAATCTGCTTTATAAACAGATGACACTATTTGAGGGAACTATGGGTTCCTACCTGTCATACTAACTTTCAGGTTCATTGGTACATGAACTGCTCGTTTATCTTTCCTTTTTTTCATGTGCTGATAACACCTAAGTAAAGACGCTGTATTGCAAGGAAATTTGTACCTTTATCTAACTCCATGGAGCATCTTGTTTTGTAGCTGCTAAACACGTAACCCCACTTTAACTGAGGTAACCCCCCCCAATCTTTTATGTGATAATTTAATTGCAGTAAAATAAAATTATCTTTGGGATTTTGGTGCATTGGCCTGCTTTTAATTGGTGCAGAACAACTTCAGTTGATTTCAGAGGGATTTGGAGGTGCTCAGCACTTCAGAAAATGAGGCCACATAATTTGGGTGCCTAAATATGGATTCTGAGCCTCCTCATAGACACAGCAAGTAGGTGTGGATTTCAGTATGCCGCCACAACCAGTGATAATAACCATGATTATGATGAGGGCTTAGTATAAATGCACAAGATGTCAAATGGAAATTATTCAGGAAAAGCTAATGTCTAATGAAACAAACACTTAATCCTAGTGTAAGTGCAGTTTAGCAGCAGCATGTGCATATTTTGTGGGACGAGGTTCATTTTATGTAGAAGCAGTGCCAGGTCTCGGCACCCTGATCTGTATTTGACATTTGCACATGGAATACGCCGTTTAGAAATTTTGTGAGCTTGTGTGGGGTAATCTTTTCACAGATGCGTAATGAAGTTGCAAATGGGGGATTAGACCAGTGCTACGATACCGTGCATGAACTGTTCAGGATAAAACAGTGCAGCAGTGAACAAAAGCCAGATTGCTCACTTCAAGGCCCGTGTTC